TGCACTGTGAACTGAATTATTGGGTATTTCTCAACTACAAATGCATCTGTACAAAGTTCCAAGGAATGATTTTTGTAACTGAACTCTGTTTCCAGTTTGCTTAACTTTGCTTACATTATCTAGTTAGGCAATCATTGTCTGGAACATAATAAAATAATCTAAATTACTGTTCTTGTAAGAATAAACTAAGCAATCATTAATATGCTATTGCTTCCTTAGGGACATTCTTTGAGCATTTCAATGAAAAAGTCGAGAAAACAAAAAGAGAAATCAATAGAAAAAGGAAATAATGTACTATAAAGGAGTATTTGAACAGTATATTCTTTCAAAATTCTTAAGAACCTTAAAGAATTAAATGTAAAAACTAAAAGACTTCCTATGGCAGGAAGCCTGTAAGGCAGAAGTGTAACAAATCATGTGAGGAATATTGCATAAGTGCAGTTCCTGTTCTTAAAATCAAATGAGTTAGACCTTTACAAAATTGTGGTATTAAGGGTGTGTGCTTTTGTCTATGCATATTTGAGGGTGTACAATGTTTTTATTCAGTCTGCTGTAGACTTAAACTAGATTAACCTACCAGATGTACTACAAGCACTGTAACAGGCTTTTTTCTTTTTTTTTGTTACTGCTATCAGTAGTAGACTTCTGAAAACATAAATGTGCAAACAGTGTGTCTGCAATAGGGCTTGCTTGTGCAGATAGACACTGCTAACTGGTCTGGAGCTAGCTGCTTTAAAGCTAATTGTGTGAGTGGCTTAACTTCTGATTCAGAAATCAGATTTCTGAATATTGTTCATGTTTCTCATGTTAATTTCTGTTCCTAAATGAGGCCTTTAAATCTCTCACTCTACACATAATGATAACCTCACCCCCAACCAAATTAAAAAAACTCTAACAGCAACAGATATGCTAACGCTTCTCTAAAGCAAAGTGCAAAAAGCATTTCACACTATTAATGCTTCTATATTTAGAGTAGTCTTCACACATGCAGTCATGGTTGGAAAGATTGTGCTTTCTCTTGCTGGATATACTACCTGTATGTAAATGAGTTAAATGTTCTGTGCTTCACTATATTTACTGTCAGAAGGGAAGAACTATGATGCATGCATCATAGAATTAATCTGTGTCGAATGAAATAAAACTAGTGTTGTTATTACTAGCAGAATGAATGTAAATGTAGAAAGCAAAATCTATGAAAAAGCAAATGTCCAAGTTCAGCAGTACATTGAATTATATGGGAGGCCTACTACATATAAGAGATAGCTAAAGAAAATTTTGAAATTAATAAAAGGCACAAATGATTTTCAGTAACTTACAATTATCTGTCTTTTCCTTCCTAATGGAAGGACATAACACTTGTGTGTACAGCAAAGACACGTACCAAATGAATTTTCTGACCTGCAGAAAGGAACATGATTGCAACTGATCTTGTACATGTATACTGGCTCATAGCCTGAATGAGGCTCTAAACTTGCTTTAGGGCATGATTACTCAAAACTATTTACATTAATAGTAAGTCCCAGGAACATGAAATTCAGAACTATTCCTGTGGTTTTGCTCATGGCACCTAAAATATATAATAAATTACTCTACTTCATATGCATTCCAGTTAAAAATAGAAAATAAATTATCTGAATTCTTCAAATGCAGTAGTAATGTTTCCTGTAGTTATTTCTGCTGTATTAACAGAGGACATAAATTTACTCTATGAAAAAATTAATTATCTTAGGCAAGCATTCTAAATTCAAATTATTTTCTATAAGCTTGTTCATTGTTTTACTGTCTATAGTCTCTTGTACATAGTAATACACAATGTACCTTGGACTATTCTGTAACGTGCTCAAAGAGGGTCAGGCCTGAAACAGGTATGGTTTACAAGTGAAGGGACTATTCATGGGAGCTCATGCAGCTCCAGATTTGCGACAGAACTGTGTTTCATTAGCATGAATTTGAAATGAATCATCACCTTAGCAAATGAAATTAAGAGATATATAAGAGAAAGGATAACGCTCAGCTCCAGATCCCATTCTAGCTTCATTACAGCCTGGCTTTAGGATTAGAACCATTTATTTTTTTGTTGCTGGTTCATGGCGCTGAAGCATTTTTTTCCATGTGGGGGACAGTTACAGTAGGAAGCTTTGAAATGTATAAAAGTAAAGGCTGAGAATACAGGTGTTCCAGTGGCCAGTTTACCAGAGGAGAGAAGTATGAGTCTGAGCATTATCTGTTTCACAGGCTTCCTCTCAAGCTAAACTCTGCCAGTTTTCAGAAAAATCTGGATCCTGTCGACTCTAGGGCTGCCAGAACTTTTACTACTTTTGCATATATAAAGATAATAAAAAGATAAATTGCTTTTTCTTTTCCCTGAGGGTGGCTATGGGAAAACTTAAATTAACAGAAATAGCAAGTTCAGAATGCTTTTTATCAATGTGGTCTATACTGCACAAACTATTACTTTAAGGTAATAGTCATAGTTGCTTGCATGATACTGAGGCAGTGATAGGCCACACAAAAGATCTGAGGATTCAGCCTTTTCAAATTTAGTATGTAAATGGTAATACTAAATAAATGAAAATACCATTTCCAATATAAAACTTGAATCTAAATCTTGAAGACCAGATGCTGGTCTGTAGTGCTGTCATAACATCAAAGAATGGAAGTTGATATAGATGACTTACAGAATTGACTGCAGATTGAAGGCTAGTGCTGAAAACCAATTCTTCCTATATTGTACAACCAGTTTGCAAACTATTAGCATGTTCTAATGGATAAAAAAAATAAAAAATAAAAAAAGAGAACAGCATTTTGGTTTGACTTTAGAAGAATCTGGGATCCAAGAATTACTGTGGGTTAAATCTTTTGTTTCTTTTATTTGTATAATTCCATTAGCCATATGGGGTAGAACAGAATATAGGTTAAGCATTTCCAGAACCCATTTTTGCTTCTTCTTTGGATTACTTAGATCTTGCATCAGAGGTTCCTTCCTTCCTAGAGTAAATGGACAGGGATTAGAGAGAAATTTTGCTTGACTTTACCTGCTACTCATTAACCAAGCAGCTGAGATACTGCAAGTTCATTGTGTATAGTAATTGCTGGTAGTGATGAATTAATGTCTTCCTCCCAAAAGACAGGGAAAAGCTATTAATTTGGGGAGTGTAGCTGAGGCATATTTTCTTTAATAGAATCAGTTGTGTGTTTTCCCAGGGTTGTAACAAAAACCTTCTATTTTCTGTAGCACTTCATGTATAAAGGTTTTACTTTTTAATAAGAAGTGTTTCCTTTTAGCTTTTGTTATCTTAATGGCCTGAAAATATCATGCACACATACACAGGATGGAACTGAGATTTTTCCAGTGAACTCATTATGGCACTTTGTAGAACTATAAATACTGGCAGTTATTTCCTTAGTGTCAATTAAAGTTCTTATAGTTGTTCCCAGCTTTGCTCTAATGGCATGTGTGTATCTTTTAAGCAAAATGTGCTCCGTACTAAATGGCTTTGTTTAGAGTGTTTCTAATAGAAATGTCCCTGCCACATGCATCTGCATGGTCTGTGTAATCTCTTGTAGAATGTTTTCTGGCATTGAACTGACAGTGTATGCTTAAGCAAGCTTGTTTTAGTGTTTTGCATCTCTGCTAGTAATTAATGTATATCTTGGGGTATCCTCAATTAATTATGGGGAAAACCAAGTTTTAATGAGATGTGTACAATCAGGCATTTGACTGTGGATAATAGGTAAGAAAAATGTTATTTGCAGAAAAATTTTTGTGAAATGATGTGGGTATGGGTGTGGTGAAACATTTAATCCCCTTTTTCAATTGGTCTGTTTTTGGGGCTAAATATCAGGCCTACGAGATGTTTGTTGAGAACCCTTCTGTTGATTTGAACAGGAACAATACTTGGATAAAACTGATACATCTTCCAAGGCATCTCCCTGGTTCTCTGTGCGTACTAGTTTGACAGCATTAGTTTTTGATGTATTCTGGAGGATTGAGCCATAACTATAAATCTAAATAGTTTATGGAACCAGTATGTAGCCCTTCTATCCTTTAAACTCTGTTTTGAAAGCACAGGCAGAATTTGGGGAGTGTAATGCTTAGAAATCCAATTTCCCTGAAGTCAGTGAAAATCTTCCACTGCCTACAAGGGATAGCAAGCTAGGAGAACAATAATCTAGAACTTCATAGTTGTGTGGACTGACATATTTAGTATGGATGTGTGTGTACAATCAGACATGTAAATATTTTTGTATGTTTCTTTTATATATATATATATATGTAAAAATGTTTACATGCAAATATGTGCTAAGGAGGGAAGAAAGATGTTCCTTATTCTGCTTCACAAAATGACTTTAATTTCTTTATTAACAAAACACAGTTTATTCACACACAAGCCAGGAAAAACAAAGTGTCCTTTCCTCATCCTGCACTTTGTTATTGGTTTTCCCACCTCATGTGTGAGTGGAATTGAGGTTGTCACCTCATTGTGGTCAGTTCCACACCTTTTTTCAGGGTAAACAGCATGCAAACTTGTATAAGCAGCATCTGAGCCAAGGCCATTTTTATAAACCAAACTTTAATTTGTTATTGTTTTGGCATCTATGAATGTGTGTGTGAGACCATGTGGGCTGGCTGTGGAAGATGTACTATAAAAACTAACAGTGGAATGTTCATCTGGAGATGTTCTCTGTTATTTGTGAAAACTTGGGGCCCAATCCTGCCACCTTCTCTCACGCTAACCATCCCACTAAGGTCAGCCAGAGATTATATTTCTTTAAGGATGACTTGTGCACATAAAACTTCACTGGATTTGATGTATAGATGGAAATTTCAAACTTTGCAAGAGAACTGGATAAACTGTGTCTGCTGACATCCGCTGGATGTTGAAATGCAATCTGTGCCTTTGGAATTAAAAAATAAACTGGTATGAACTGAGGGGGAAGGAGAAGGAAAAGGGAGGTTTTTACATTTAGTTGTCTTTTTTTTTTTATTTTGTAGGTGTTCACTATAAGGAACTGGTTGTAGGAATTAAAAAGAAATGTAAATGTGAGAAACAAGTTCCAGACCCTCCCACTGGTTTTCAGTCCTTGTTAAAAGAAGGATTGAAAGTGCAAGTGCAACATAAAGCTGACAAAGAAGCAAAGTTGTCTAAGCAGTGCAAACAAGCTCGAGCAGTAATTAATGTTGTGAAAAATGCATTTGGTTCAGATACTGTTTTAAAGGTAAGTTTCACATTTGATATGATACTGTGATACTGTGTAATGTGACCCTATTTCCTCTGAAGACCTAAAGTTTCTTTTCATATTTGTATCAAATTAGTTGAACTGCCTGTATGACATCATTCAGCAAGCAGATGTTGCTTCATGTATCTGCAGTAAAGGAAAGGATATTTTGTATGCCAGTGCTGTAGACGTCTATTAAATTTCTTTTGCATTAGAGATCTTGTTTTAGGTATATCCTAGATGATTCTGTTAGTGATCTTAGCTTATGTAGCCTTTAGCCAGGTAGGTTACCTGCCAAACTGGTAGAATTCTGATCACTGAATGCAAATTAGTTTAGTCTGCTTCCATTTTTTTATTGCTGGTCCTAAAGCCTCAGTCTTGTGCCAGGGTCTGTTACAGCTGTACTTAGTATAGGGAACATATTTAGAGCATAGTGGAGGACTGCATGAGGGATACAATTCCATGTAATTATTTAAAGCTGAATCTTAAATTAGACTTAATACTAGCCTATACTACTATTATTAATATGTTTAATTAAATAAGCATAATGTGTTTTGTATCCAAACTTAAATGAGGATCTAGGAGTGCATGCAGCAGCTTTGCTCAAGAAAAATGCAGTGCTTGTCAGCCTTGTCTACCCAGCTCAGAACCCAGTCCTGCCAAACTTATTGAATGCAAAGCTACAGTTCTAGTAACAGACTGTTACTCAAGGATATGATGTCCTTAGTATGATGGCCAACATCTGCAGAGCACTGCAGGTAATAACATTAGTGCACTACTGTTAATTTTGCATCCCAGATCATACTTGATTGTTTGTCCTGCTGTGGGCTTTTCCACACAGGCAGAGTTGTCTCAGAAGGGAAGCTAGAGCAATGCTGGCAGTTTCCAGAACCTGCTTTCCAGATGGGCACTGGGCGAGGAGGAGCCAGCTGAAATATTGCCTAGATGAAGCAAAACCTGAGCTAGCAAATGATGGTTTTCTGTAGCTGGCACAACCCAAAGGAAGGAGTGAAAAGCCTGAATTAAGCTAATCTGTCTCAGCTAAATGTGATCTTCAATTTAGAAACTAGAGCAATTTGAGCTTTAGGAATACTCCCCTGCTTTTTGGCTTCAGCTTTCACAAGCAGACCTAAAGAAAGTTTTGACCATGTTACTAAAAGGTTCAACATTTTTTTAAGACTCATGAATCATGGTGGGTGTATTTTTTTTTTTGTTTCTTTTTTTTGGTGCTTTAGCATCACTCTTTTTGTAAAATACATTATACATGTCCTTTCTAAGAACAATAGCTATTATAGGTATAAAAACAAAACTAATTTTAGTAAATCCATTGAGACATATGGTAAGAAATTCCATTGACAGCATGATAAATGTGTCTTATACTTGGCATAGCTTTAACATACCACTTTTTATTATTTTTCCATTATAATCTTTCACATAACTAAGAGTGTAATATAAGATTGCTTGCAAAGGAAAGTGTGAACTGCTCATGACATGCGAACAGGATTGTCTTCAGGTTGGAGTGGAACCTGCAATACTGTCTCTGAAGATGCTGTGTGTATTTTGAGGCCTGGCCCTGGAGACAGTTTGAATTGAGTAAAAGAATCTTATTCTTCCTAAACTTGCAGCCTCTCACAACTAAAGGTGCAAAATCCTCCCTGCTAGTTTTGAACTCTGGTTCCCCACACAGTATCACATTGCATTAGTGGCCGAACAGTGAAGACCAGTTGTCATTCAGTATAAGACACATTCTGAAACAATTCAGATTTGGAACTGATTTCAAAGCCATTTAGATTTATATAAGGAACTCATTAGAAAACCCCCACATATAACTAGTTTAAATACTGAATCAATTATTTATGTACATAGGCTACATATTGAAATGGTTTAAAATTTGAATCAGTTGATCTCAAGCAGAATCAATTTGGTAAAGATATCAAACATGTATAGGTGCTTCATTGAACAAAGCATTTTCCCTGCCACTTGCTGCCTTGCCACTGATATTTTGTTCAGACATCATCTGAAAACAGTTTTTCATATCACTACTTATGATAGCATACTCTGGAGGTAGAGAGTGAATGGGGTCCTCTGTTTTCCATGTCATGCATAACATGCTGTAGCAAAGTAATTTTATGCATTTCTTTTCTGCTCTCTGTTTATCCAAAAACATTAAGTGCTCTTTCATAGCAAGAAGGATGTTTGGGCCCATCCTTGGGCTGCTTCTGTTTAGCTTTTAATGTCCCATAAGCAGAAGAGAAAACATTCTTTCCTGGGATTCTTATTTCTGCAAAACCTGTCCAGGACTCAAATATCTAAGGAAGTGTCTTGAAAATCAGTAAACAATGAGCTTAATGTTTAATATTAAATTGTACAAAATCTATATTTTTATGCAAGACTTCATTTAAATCTTTACTAATCGTAAGAATAAAGTACACCTGGTCAGATGGACTCAGATGCTAATGCCCTTATAACAGTATGTCTAACAAAACAGCAGTGGGACATGTAGGGAGTTAAGCTGAATCGAACAATAAGTAGTAGCTTTTTTTTGAATCTGAACAATTCAAACAAGACTTCATGTTGCTTTAAAGAAGACTTATTTAGCAAAAATACTTGTCACTTACTGCAGTTTGCAGAGCAGAACTTTTTCCTCCCTTCTTTTCCTCACTAGAGGTGAACACTAAGCTGCTGTTGTGAAGGGAGAGAACTTGTTCACTCTGATACCTCTGTTCTTGTGCTGTTGCTCCTTGGAGTGCCCTTGTAAGTGCTTTGAGGTCACATTAGCTTTCACCCAAATGCTGCCTCAATTCCAGTATAATTGTTCATCCTGTGAATTTTTATGCACAGTACCATGTATATGCAGGCTTAGATTTACCAAGGAGAGAAATTCAGTCCTTTCACTGACACTCTATTTCCTCTTTTACTATCACAGTGTTGTCACTACTGGTTTCCAATGAAGTTCATTCAGTTGCCAGCATTTTTCTCTATCCTCAGCCTCACATCCTATGCCGAAGGAGCTGCAACTGTATTGGGATGCTGTTTTAAAACTCTACAAACTAAGAAGAGTCAGGATAATATTCTTATGGTTTTAAGTTTTCTGATGTCAAGGTTTGTCACATCATCCCAGTAAGGAACCTCATTCAGGTTCTGATAGAACCAGCTCTAAACAAATGGTGACATAGGCATCTTTTCAAGTACCAACTTGACTCTGGCAGGCTTAGCAGTTGTTTTCTGTGACCCCTTTTCCTGGATGAAAAGAGGTTGCTTTATTATGTATCCTCCCTGTTTCAGCCCTCCACATTTTCAGGAAATCATCTACCAGTAATTTTTCCCCTCTTAGAATGATACTGACTCAGTAGAGAGATCCATCTCCAAGTATTTCTTATTGCCATACCTTCTGAATCAATACAGTCTATAGATCTTTAAATATATCAAATATCATGTAAAATACCAGTATTCAGATTTCGCCATATCTTCCCTTCTGGCAGTGAGCATGTGTAGGATGAGTTAACTGATCAGTATGGTGGGAGCAAGTGAAAACTAAAGTGAGAGCCCCCTGTTTATGAGGGAAAAAAAAAAAAGAAAAAAAAGGAAGGGGTGGGATGGGGTGTGTGTTCTGCTACTGCTTGGGTCCTTCCAGACCTTTTTACTATTCTCACTTGCAAAATATAAATTATCAGGGTCTTTTACATCTTTGAGAGAAAACAAAGAAGTGGCTGATGAACAAAACTGTACAGAAGTAAGCAGTTAATTTCAATATGATCTGAATTAGTGTCTGGCTATTATACAGAGTTGGAGATGAGCAAACCATTAACAAACATTATAAAACAGGAAGAAAATAAGCTTATGGCCTTGTTACTCCCTCAACAGCAAAGAATCCACAAAATAGGATTCAGTAATGATTTCTAAAGAAGGAAAAGAGAACAAAAAACTCGTATGCTGGTATTTGGAAAGCTTTGATGTGGCATTTTCATTCCCTGGTGTTTTCAAACCAGACTTTCTCAGTCAGACTAAACTGAAGCATATTTTACAAGCCAGAAATTATCTTTTCACTTTCTGTTCATATTTGAGAATGAAAAAAGCAAGGCAATACAAGATGATGAGTAGTAAGGTGTGTTGATGGAGACAAGCTGGGAGTTCATTGACAGCAAATGGGGATTAGCAATTTTTTTTTTTTCCCCACAGAAAAGTGACGTTATTTCAGTACCATCAGGAGTAACAGCATGGAGCTTTTAACTGTATCACATCTGTGCTGAAGAACAAAGTAAAACTTCCAGAGAACTAATAAATATCTGATGCACCTCTATGCAAATAACCTAAATGACAAGCTTTCTTGTGATGTGTATAATCTTCCCATGTCTCTAGGGATGCAGAACAAGATCTTGTCCTGCACCTGTAAAAAAACCTGATGGTCTCCTTTTCTTTCCAGCTCAGTCCAGGTTTTCATCTGATTTCAGTAAGGTTTGAATTGTATCAGATACAGAGAAAGGCCTTCATCCACAGCATAAGTTTGGTTCAGTAGATTTGCTCCTTCGTTTGTATATCTGTAAGGATATTATGACTATGACCTCACAGTTCAAATTGCTTTTAATAGGAAACATTTTCTACTTAACTTTTCCAAAGCCAAGTTATGTTTATGACGGGGGTTATCTGTGGTGGTTGCAATTGAAGGAGATGGGATGTCATGACCTAGATTGGGCCCTTTAGTTGCATCTTTTTATCTTCTTAAAAGGGGTATCCTTCACTTTTGCATAAAGAGATGAAGCTAAACAAATAACTTCATGTAGTCAGCCACAGTGAAGGGGCAAAAAACTACAAACCATGATAATGTCAGCAGTCAATATTGTTTCTCTTTGCAGAACCATAAACAAAATCATGAAACTAGTCTCTAAAAGGTCTTGATGACAGCTCTGGTAAATTTAAGCAATCTGGCTACAAAGATGAATGGTATTTTCCTGTTGCACATTCTCTCTCTCTGAAGCTATTTAAATCTAATTAACCTAGTG